GTGAATGGTTCTAAGAAGGGCAACATGAATTCGAGACAGGGTTTAAATTTCGCCATTTTTAAGACTGCTAATAAACCTCGGCGAAATATGATTCAAAAGGGTTCGTGTTGGGTCAAGAGGTTAAACAGATACCGTTACAAGCTTCGGGTTGCCCATTCGACAGGCACTTATGGACTATTTTATCGTCTATTGTTGTCTATAACAAAACCCTAACTATGACGATAAGCGGGAAACTTAGGGATGACTGAGAGATTGGAGAAAGGTGTAAGAAACGGAATAGGGATAAGTAAAATAAGAGAGAAAATGGGGCGCGGTGGGGGATGTTGGAAGATATGGGAGGATATGGGCAATGACAAGGTGGAGGAGGATAAGTGGAGGTCTGGCAGAAGTGTCTATACACAGTTAGGATTGTCTGTATATATATTATTTAATTCATCCCATGGTAAGCGTACACGTCTCTGCAATTATCTTTGATACTGAGCTCGTGTTTTCAAATTGAAAACACAGACCCCAGATGACGTGCGGGTCGCTTACATCTCCAGAAAGGTCAGGCTGCTGTGGTTGACCTCATTACAACGTCACATATTTTAAATGATCATTCTTTCAAACTGTTTTATGTTTTGTAAATCTAGAAATTGTGTTCACGCCTCACTTGATACTTCTACACGAAAGTGAGAAAGGTCATTGTTTCATATTCTTAGATAAAAAGCCACGTCAATATAATGTCAGTCCCCAGTCGTTCTGGCTGGCTCGGTATTATGAGGTTCTCCGGCTGTAACTATTACTAAATAAATACTGTATCGTTAATAACGTCAGAAAATATAATGACGTCAATCTCAATTTAACAGAATTACTTCCCTTGTTCCATTCCGAGGGCGATGGAACTAGTAGGTAGCTACCTATTCTATGAAAAGGCAAATGGCAAAAGGTCGACTTTTCTGGAAAAAACATTGAATATGATATGCTACAATACATTTGACCCTCAGCTTGCCGGAATTCGACTCAATCAGTCTAAAGGATACAGAGGGCTAGACATGGCCCGACGTCCCTTTGACATGATTGCCAGTTGATTATTTGACCCTTCCCGACTTCGGGCCCCTTCCATGACTACGGGCCCCTTCCATGACTACGGGCCCCTTCCACGACTACATGTCATTAGTCATGGGAGGGGTTATAGTCGAGAGGGGTTAAATAATCAACTGACAATAATTTTGTAGTGACGAAGGTCCGTCCGTGTCGAGCCCCGGTGTCCAAAGACAGAACAAGATCACCTTCACTCCATATATTCATGATTTCAACTGAAAAGGACGATCTAGATTACTTGTAATCGGACAGACTCACTCTGACGTATCTCGCTGCGTTCTACAGACATTAACACGATATCTGGCACGGAGAACTACAAATACTAGGGTGTATGGTTCGCATGCACTTGTGCTATAATGCTCTAATCATAACCCACTCGACTCATTCATACTTCAAACGCAAGCAACTATTTTGGTAGTGGCCGACAAGGTGTCGAACTTCGCTTTACCAAAACCTTTCTGTAGACTATTGCACTGTTTAATCGGAGTTAGAGAGACAGAGCCGCTCACGAGGGCAACACATCGCGTGCGAGGATATCATGGATCCTGCGACATTTCTCATTAAGCTCAAACTAATTGATCACATCCGAGATATAGCCGAATATTTCGTCCTGTACATATACGGTAGAGAGCGCTCCGATTGATAGTGTGTTGTGACGTAATTAAATTCCATGTTTTCAGTGAATTTAACAATTGTCTACACGCCAACAATAGATAAACCCGCTATTGGCTCTTGTTGTAATGTTTTTCTACTGACACTCGGCAAAGGTCACGTCAAGGTCGCCAAGGGAGACGTGTGATTACACGACTGACTGAAAAATAGATATATATTGCTGAGATTTCGGTACGATCATATTTCAGCGAAACTCTTAGATGGAAACCCTGAACATAGGGCCGCAGAGTGGTGCTCTTCCAGACAAACACTCATCATGCGTCAGGTTTTGACGAGGAAGTATTTGAAATCAGATCTAATGATACCGGAAACGGATCCGTCCGATATTGATACATCATTGATTAATCATATACATACGTATGTAACAATATACGTACGTCCTTTTCTGTTGGAAAAGTACTATCATCTTACTTCGGCGAATTGGAGGGTTCCCGATATCACCGAACGGGAACAAGGACACGGATGTGCTTGAATCGGGTCTAATCATACCGAAAGTAGATCTGTCCGAGACTGGTACATCTATCCCTGGCGATGGGAGACGTTACAATAGCTCTTGATTACAGTATTATATATGATCATTCAAAGTATATCACAAAAGCAGTTAAATTAAGGAATATCCTTACTTCCATGATTTGCCAGCACCCAAATTAATACATTATTTCAATTGAGATATTTTTTTGACGCTATGATGTTGAGTTATTTTTTACCATTTCAGGTTAGGGAATGTGTTATTTTTTTGTTCAGTGAAGATAACAAATCAATGTTATGGCCCTAAAGTAGATCATTTTAACGCTATCGGCGCAGTATTGGTATCGTTAATGGTTGATCTCTCGTCTACATTTGTGGTCGCTGCCGCAGGGACCTGGTAATGTATTACAGCTATATTTGGAGTTCAGATTTTACAAGTTTTATGGGTTTAGATCAACTTTTGGTAAAAATGCCACCCCAATGCAGTACCAAGTCCCTGTGATCGTTGTAACAGTCTAGACGTCCTGAACCTATTGTCACATGGCTCATAGATTAACGACAACAATACAACAAGTAACCGTGCTAATTAAGAAATAGCAAAATTCTAACTATAATAAAACTTTGGAATATTTGGAACAATTTTCCATTTTAAGAGTTTTTAGCTTGATCTGCTTTGGCCTTTAATCTGTTCGACTTGTATTGATTGGTTTGAAAGCCCCGCCTTGGACTCTTAGTATATATTGGGAACCGTTGCACTTTCCGTTAATGAGTATTTTCTCGACGTCGACATTCCCGTTGTCAGTTTATGTTGAGCTGTTGGTTGGCTGTTGGAAGGTATACGCCCACTCCTCCTTTTCTACACTTTGTCTTGGATGAGGTCTCCAAGACACCACTGGCTGTGATCAGAATAATGTTAGTGTCGTGGTTGTAACATTGCAGTAAGATTTACTTTTCATAATGAGGAGATCGTGTTTTCAGAGGTTTTTTTCACACTTCGGCACAGTGTTTTTAAGTAATGGGTCCTTTTCGTTTATGTGGAACAACCGGTTCGTCTGTTTTAAAATGTAACAATTTCGGGTTTAAATCCTGGCGGACCTCGAAAAGTTTATGCAGGCCTTGCACTGCTTTGAGGTAACTAGACCGAACTTATTTCATAATCGAACAAATCTGGTCCAACCGGTTTAACCGTTTGGATCGCGATAAACGAAACGAGAAGTTTTGTTAAAAACTCTACTTCTGCCACTTGTTGTAAAGAAGAAGAGATTGCATAACCTTTCTGATAAATAAATCACCATTTGATAGGACTGACACCTATATTGCTGAATGGTTGCGATATTAGAAATTAAACAAACCTACAACGGTTATTGAACCGAACGTGTGAATTTGAAAATTGTTATAACAGCTTACGAGAGAATATCTACTGATTTATATCACAGCGTAAACAAAATGATGACGTATTTGTCGTAAATATGCTACTTTCTAAGGAATATGTAAATAAAATGTTATGCATAATCTGCTATACTGGCACTTAACAATGTTTTATTCAACACAGTACGAGAAATATTTAGAATGAACTTATTATAGGAGAATGTATTACTTGAACTTGTGTACGATATGACTAGAATTCCTTACAGTGTTAAGATTAACGTGTGCTTATGTTGGTTACTTGGACCCTTTGGTGACTACTGTAATATTTGTGTGAATTGAGAACAAATTGTCGATTCATTAATGAAAACGGAAGATGAAAGTAAAATCGACCGATCAAATGTAATTTGCATAATGTAATCGCCAGTGAGTTGGGAATGAATTCAATCACCTACTGGAATGTCAGTCATTATCTAAATACAGAATAAAAATCAGATACATAATTCTGTACGAGCACCCATCATTCACGTGCAGCTGGAGACTTGACATGACCCAGTAACATTTGTTTGTGAGAATCCTCCCTTCGATTTGATAGCAAGCCCGGTCACACCACGAACGTACGTGTGTTATATACTAACAGATTAATCGATACTGTTTGTGATCGATCCGGACTGACGTCAGTGATCGGCCAATGTCTCCTATCCATCACACCTGAGCTGACGCTTCACACCTGACGTCTGTTGTGGCGTCATCACAAAGCCATGAAGATGTTTGTTTTTGCTATACTACCTCGCGGTAACTTCAAAGAAATATTTGCCCCCGGGGTTGCTGGTTGATACGTGTGCTGCCCCTGGGTTTTGTTGATATGTACGCTTTCGTGTTTTCTTTCCTCGTCAGCTGTCAACATTTTGTATTTATAAAATGATCAAACAATCAAAATTTTTAAGTCCAAATATGTCCAAGTATGTAATAGTTATAACCAAGGAATTATAGAAGTCAATGTTATAACTGACTAAAGTACTGACAGGTATGTGGCTTCATCAGTTTATCGTAGCCTCCGATAATTGGAATTCATAAGAGCTCCACAATGTAGGCACATTAACTCGAAATTCCGAAAGTTCTGGCCGAAATATCACCAAAACTTTGAGTCCCTTTAAGCTTTCTTTGAACTCATGTGTCTTTATGATACAGTCTATGGGAAATTATATTTGTTTAGAAAGGCTCTAAGTTTTGACAAGATAAACAAACGGTCTACTTCTGGTCCTACAGCTAGCGCTTTGTATTCCATGCACTACAGTCAAAGGTGGTATCATCTGGTGTAGGGGAGGCAATTCAAGTTATTTTTCAACCTCTTTGTACTATTCAATTCAAAAGAAATAAAAGTACATTTAAAAATAACAAAATTCGACTGATTTCATTGTTAATATTCCGTTAGCTTTATTTACACACTCGGAGGAGAGAGAAGATCGTTCTTGTAAATGGCACCGACCATTTGCTCCTTGTTACACCACAAGTATAGCTGAATACACAGTCTCACAATTTTACTTTGTAGTTAACCGTGTTCTCTTGTTCCAGCTAAAATTGGCTCCATACGATTTAGGTTTAAATGTTGCTACCTGCTTCTTCTCTATGTAGTATGACCAGCCTGACAGAATTAAGAAAACAATTAACTTAATAATGTACAGACCACATAAATCTTAGGAAATAAAAAGATGTAAATAATTGTTTTAATCAGCTGTTTTAAAGAACATTTAACCTGAGTTTCATTATGTTAAATGGTTTCAGATTAAAATCAGGAGCATACAATTTCCTTTTTTTCAAGTGCTAGCTCAAAGACAGATTTTGCAAAAATTCAAGCTATATAATTGTGTTCATACTGAATATTGAAAAAATTGACTAGCCCAGATATAAAACTTGCTAGGCCAAGGCATTAGGGCTGTGGAGTTGTAATTATAAATAAAAACAGAGTATGCGTAGGTATTCAGATTTACTAGCACATGTTCAGCACCATTAAATAGAGAATAATATATGCCTTTTTCCATATCACACTCAGTATCAACCCGAGACTCTAATATCAGCCCGAGGGCCGAAGGCACAAGGGCTGATATTGGTCGAGGGTTGATACTGGATGTGATATGGAAAAAGGCATGTTTTATTCTGTTTATTACATACCTACTAATAAAATACGGATGTATCTTCTATCTTGATATCTATTTTTCTTTTGAATTTTTGAAAAACGAAAAATTTCCAAAAGGGGTGTGATACAGGTTTTGCGGGCTGATACGGAGAGGGCTGATACAGGTTTTGGGGTGTGATACGGCCCGGGCTGATATGGATTTTTGACGTATCGAATATACAAAAAAACCGTATTTATTAGTTATATAAGTACGAATAAATGACAATAGAACTACCGTAATCTATCTATAAGCACCCCATTTTATAAGCTCCTTTACCTTTTTGTAATGTCAGTGTACATATCTCATTTTTTCACAGTAGTTTACCCAATGACTTGAAAGCAGTGTTATCATTATTTATTTTGAGAATTTTGGAAGCTTCATCAATTATTGTATTTTTGAAAATACTTACTTCCGGGTAGGTCAAAATGTCAATCAGTGTTTTTGATACTGATAACAAACAAATGGTTACTTTTCCCCCACTTCATTCAACAAATTCAGCAAGAGCAATAGATTTCATGCAAAAAGTAGATTAACAAAAATGGTTCAAAAATGGTTTATGGAAAAGAAATGAAATTAATTACATTAAAATATATCACTAAATCTACTGCTTTCATATTTCTATCCAAAAAGCAGTTTCTTTAAAAAGAGGGAAAATAGCAAACCATTTAAATTTCTGAGTGAGAAAAATATCATCAACTTTCAAATGCTCACCATTTTTCTCACAAAAAGTAGCGGCATCTTCAGCGTTGATAAAATCTACATTCAAATTAGACAAAGGATCCGCCCTGAAAGTGAAAAATAACTTTAATTAATTACCGGTATCAATCAAAAGTCTGAAAAAAACAACAGTTTTCAAGTTCAAATGTAAGCTGAATACCATTGATTAGATTATCAAACTCAGTTTAAACCCAAATTTTGAGTTAAATTTGTTTTTCAACAATTTAAGAAGCTAAGTGCCCAGGCCTTAAACAATAATATGTAGCAATAAGACATTTTTGTTAATCACAGAATAGTCATTAGAACAATCTTCCATAAGCAGCTGTTTTTTTCAATACTGTAAATGAAACAGTCATCTTGGGCCATTGATCTCCAATTTTGTAGTGATTGTGTCAGAACTGTAATGTATTTAATGAACATCACACCTGTGTCATTTTCTAGCTCACAATGGACCAAGTCTTGTTTGGTAGGTTTATATCACCCTGAAGTAAATCAAAGTTGAGAGATTTTCTTTGAAAACAATATTTCCATGTTAACGAAAAGAAGAATTGTGATGTCCAGAAGTTAACTACTAAATATTGCTTATACTTATATTTAGTACTACACGTTTATCAAGAGAACAGTAAAAAAAGTCAGCTATTTAGCAATCAATATCCTCTTTTAAGTTTAAAACATTACTTCCAAATTTCTAACAAAAGCTGATTATATTGTAACAATGTGAAAATATTGATGTTTTAATAAAGGCTGTGATAAAATGTTTTTAAATTAAATTAATTGTTGCGCTGCGTATATCGTGCTGTTTGCGTATACATGTGCTGTGTACGATCACTGTGCCGTCTACCTGGGTTGTTTTTGTACACATGAGTATGTTGTCACATGTCACTTGTCTTACCTTGTTACGTCCATATAAGGTAATTGTTCTAAATAAAGGTGTTACCTCGTTTTCGTTAGTGGTCAGTCCAGTTGTCTTTGTTACATGTTTTGGCGCGTTTTTTTTAGTATTCATTCATAGACAGAGCTAAAGGGTGGATGTAATTTATATCCAGAAGTTTGAAGTCTTGAAGTCTTTCTCCAGATCTTGTAAGTACACATTTAGATGTGACAAAGTCTTCTTCTGTAATTGGTTTATGTTAAATTATAATATTAATGAGATTTTGAATAAAGTAGCATTAATTATATTGTGAAATTGTACTTTTTATAAAATTAACAGAATCTTTATCTTACGTACATGTATAATTAATCGATACATAGATAGCTCTTTTTAAAGTAATGTATATATGTTTTTATCAACATGATGTAAATTGGTATTTACATGTCTCTTTTACAGAGATGATAGTTTTCGATTGAGAACGCGCGAATACAGATCTTCATTCGTGTAAACCCCCGACCCATAGTTGGGGTAGGTATTTTAATATTGTATGTGATAATGTAAACAAGCGATAATTGATGAGGATAATTGTATTCAATATAATTATGTATAAGTAATTTGTGTAAGTAATTTCAACTATTGATTATGATGAAGTCAGTCATTGTAAAGTTATTCCTATTTTTGAATAACCTATTGTGTGTGAACGGATCAAATATGTATGCACCGAATGTGCATGTAAGGAATTATATATGTGAGCGCTGTGTTTCATTATGTAATCGATTGTATTGTGTCTTTGTAGGTTTTTTTGATTATGTTCCACATATTGTGGGAATAAACCGGTAAACAAGAAATCTGCGTCGACCTTGACTTTTCATTCAACTTTACAATATTCTGATTGTAGTTATTGAATTGACACTTACGTAGACACCCAGCCCATACATGGGTTTTCCCATCTCTCCCTGTTGTCAAACTCTATACTCCAGCGATTGGTGTTGAAACTTCCAGACTGCATGGCATTTCTTGCTGGACTGAATATCCTGACGTGCCTCGTTTTGATATGCTCCTCTGGTACACCCGACAATGAGGACAGATCAGTCTGTACAAAGGGAGGTAACACTCAGATATATACATGGCATGTTAGGAAATCTATAACTGAATATCTGGATACTGTATTGCTGGTAAAATGCGTACCGTACCGTATACTATGGTAATCTACAGATTTTACTGAATTCATCAACTAAAAAAACCCACAGTTTTCCACACAGAAACTTAGGGTCTAGGATTTATATCAGGTATCAAGGACAAAAATCTGATGTCAAGGACAAAAAATCCTTCTTCTAACAAAACAAATAACTTCCAAAAATTATAAAATCTAGATCCAGAACAAACTTAATCAAGAGTTTTACCCATTCATGTTGTATCTTAAAAAATCCCTGAAGGACCACAGATATTTACAAAGGTTCTATAAACTGTAAAGGTAGGATTTTACTTACAATTGTTCAATGATATAGAACAACAGCATTTAACATTTTGAAATCCGTAGGTGATATATCAACTAATAAAATAACTTAAATATGGAGATTACAATTTGTAATATGAGTTTCACCATCTGAAGTTAAACTTTTATTAATTAAACCTTCAGCGAAATGAACTTACAGTTTCTTTGACAAGAATACGTAATTCAGCCTCTTCTGCTGGAGTAATTACAATATTCTTTGTGTCTTCCGTCCATTCTATAGGGCTCAGACCCTCACTTCTTATTTCTGAGCAACTTCGACTGAAAAGGACACACAGCAGCAATCATTAGACAAGCAAGCTACTCACAATGTTCTGGTTCGTCTGGCTATTCTATAGGAAGCACTGGAATGTATGGTGTCCTTCTATTTTTTTCTGTGAATTTCCTTGGTTATTTTAAGTTATTGTTACTGCTGTGTAAAACAAGTTTTGTGATTTAAAAAAATATAGTTGATACAAACATCAAGATGATTTTGTAAACATTTTCTCCAAATACGATTCCATCTTTTTTGACCATAGCAGTATCACAGTATATATACATCATACAAAAATAATATATGCAGCTGCTGTAAAAAGACAGGCATTGAAACTGTTCAATGACAACGAACAGATTGAAAAAGCTGTCTTTGAAGTGTAAAGGAAGTAATTGCAAACTGACCAGTTAACATTATAGACTAAACATTGTTGTTAAACAATGTCAAGCCCATATTGCTGGTCAATTTTGCGCTTCTTCATTTATTCAGCAAATTTCACCTTAAGGTTTAATAAGCCCCTTGATAGAGGCAACCGTATATCATATAGACTCCATAAATTGCAACCCTTAACATTGATAAGTCATTCAAAGATCCCAATTAAAAAATATGAATTCAAACATGTGATTTGGATATTATATAGAGGGTACACATTGAGTAAAAAGATTGTTGAATATGGTGGAATATAACTCATATTTATCTTACAGTCTGTGTGTTTATACAATGATCTGAGAGTAGAATAACACAGCGTTTTGTGGCAGAAACATGTATCTCAATGATATCAAATTTATTGCAAAGACCCAACATTGTTTTGCTGAATTTTTCATTGTTTCTTTATAATAGAGTATATATATATATATAGGTTCTTTAAATTAACGACTTTAAATATTGAGAGTAGCAGTATTGCATTAACTTATATTAATTAATCACGGACTATATGTGCGTAAGCATATTGCACGAAGTCTGCCTCACGCCAAGTGATGAAGACAAACTTATCGCTGTCAATGTTCAAAACCATAGGCCTACGTTTCTTCGTGACGGTTCTATGGTTGACGTTTATAGTGAAAGTTCAGCCATAGTCAGACCATCCAAATAGCGATAACTGGACATTGGGAGAACGAAATATTTTCGGACACTGTGACAGATCTTGTTTTGGTTTCATGACCTGGACACGCGACGGTGTGACGTCGAAACGATATCGAGCGTCTGTAGCAATTTTGCCTGAAACTAGCGTTCAAATATTTAAGTATCATCTTTTTTTTAATATTGCCTTAATAACCCCCTTTCCGCATATCCTCACAAAGTCACCATTATTTGTCGGATGTTGACAGCGGACGACGTAAACAAAACAGCATGTGGCAAAAAGCGTGTGGAAAAAGTCGTCCCGGTCAAAGTTCATCTTCTCGACCAATCAAAACTCTTGAAGGACATAAATGTGTGGAATATAACTCATATTTATCTTACAGTCTGTGTGTTTATACAATGATCTGAGAGTAGAATAACACAGCGTTTTGTGGCAGAAACATGTATCTCAATGATATCAAATTTATTGACCCAACATTGTTTCGCTGAATTTTTCATTGTTTCTTTATAATAGAGTATATATATATATGGGTTCTTTTCCCTAAAAATATGGTAAAAATTGATAATTGTAATTATTAAAGAAATGACTTCACTTTTCCTTGCTAATCCACCTACTTCAATACTTTATCATATTGAAGATCATGTCGATGTTTTGGGTGTGTTTATGTACAGGAGAAGGGAGTGGGAACAGAGCTAGTCGTGTAGAGAGGAGAGACGACTTTTGAAGGCTTCAAAAGTTTCGGATGAGACCAGGTCTGGCGGGAGGTTGTTCCAGTCTGGGCAGAGACGTATATACATTACAGAGATTGGAAACTTGCTCCTGACCTTCGGTTCGCTGCATTCAATAATATTGTCATGTTCAAAACATGATTATGCCATGAGAAAATCAACGTAATATTAAAACCAAAGCTAGCTGAGGTTTCCATGCGGTTTGGGAGTGCTCCATTGTATGTTAACTTGAATAATTGTGTTTGCACCAAAAATCGAAAGATTGTGCATGGCTGTGTTTACATATCACTCAGTAATGACTGAAAAGATTACCGTAGGTATCACTAACACCTTATTTGTTCATTTCATTATTTCAAAAAAGTCTTCATAACTTTTATTTCATAATATTTCTAACCAGCCTCATAATATTAGCACTTATCTTACAATATTTGAAAAGTTCAATAATTCAGCTCTGAAAATAAACAAGTTTTCCTCTTTCCACTGCCTGAAAGCGAGCTTTTGTGAGATCTGCGTGGGTTGCCTGCAATCTCTGTAATATATATACGTCTCTGGTCTGGGACAGTTAAAATCTCCATACTTAATATCCAATCCCTCCCATTCAAAACACAAATCTTTCCACCTTGCGTTCCAAAGTCATCCATCTATGTGCTCCTAGTTTTTGAAAGAGCTTTGTGTGTTTTTATTTCACTTTAATCCCCATTTCAGTATAAGAACACCGGTCTCTGCACTTAAAAGTGTCTTCAACCGACAACAAGAGTCTTCAAGTGACAACAAGCGTCTTCAGACAAAATCTTTAAAAATACTGAATAAAGTAAGCGACATCAGAAGATATGTTGTTATTATGACTATAATACACCTCTGTATCAATTTGATATTTGATAAAATGACCGAGTTATGATGAATTGAATTTTTACGATCGCGGCGTGGCACATGTGTGTATTAGCTTGAAAAGTGTAGAAAGCATCGCCAGATAATGTCATTACAATTACCCGCTAAAGTAAGCGACATCAGAAGATATGTTATTAGTTAGAGACTTTTATTGTACATGGTAACTGTTACCGAAATGCCAGATTTTCTACCCATATGCGCCGTTGTCTTCAACCTGTTATTCTTTATTATTGACTACATTTATCTCGCTATGGAACTTTTTAATAACTAAAGTACAAGTGAAATATATCCAAGTTATGGATTCCTATTTTCTCTATCTCTGAATATGACTTATAATTGATCAGGGGGTTGGAATTCAGGATGAGCAACAGCATATTTTTACTCATTCGTATGTTCGCATCACAGTAACACTTATTTCATATCGTACACAACTGGGGAAATGGGCGCTGAAGGATAAGCATTTGTAAAACCGGGCTTGGCTACAGCCTACAGTACACCACAGAAGACTGTTTGACTTTGAAACGACATTTATGTGGGGGAAATGGCACAATGCTATCAGAATGGCACGTATATATGGTATACCATGTCAAACATATGCTTAACGGATACAATTCATGATAATATTTGATTGGATAAACAATGTGCATGGTTTCTCACCTCGGAATTACCATGGGAAGGAGACGTTTAGCACACCAGCTTCTCACAGCCAGAGAAGCCATATTTGTTTTGAGAGCTCTCCTACTAACGAAGGGAAATAACTCTATTGTGTTGATGGGGTTTCCATACCTAGAAATAAGTTCCGAAAAGTTAAATCCGATCTAAATTAAAACTAAATGGATATAAAATATGAGAATTAAGCACATTTCTTTTCCGTTGGTCCGTCTTACATCTTGGTTCAATCTTGTTTTGTATTAGATACAGACCATTTTATCTATATTTTCCGCTTCACTGACTTTGGTTAGACTTTTAGTTAAGATTATTTTAAAATTGCTATCTAAGTAGCCACCAAACTTTGTGTGTGGCTATTCTACGTACTTACACTAACAAATGAATGTCATTTAAACTATATTTTTCGCTTCACTGACTTTGGTAACCAACAGTCATCAGATATCATATGTGGATACATTAGTATATCAAATGTAGGTCATTGTGGCCTATATTTTCCGCATCGTTGACTTTAGCAGGGATGTGTAGTGAACCCACTACACATCCCTGACTTTAGTTACACTTTATGCCATATCTACCGTTTCATTCGTGATAAATGTGATTGTGCTTTGGTGATGATGCCCGAGTATGCTTTTTTGTGTTCCGATGAATATGCAAACTTTGTCATCTATAATTATTTTATGACGTTTTTATTTTTGTCGGTAGGACATACCAAAAAGAACCTTATTTTATTGATTGTAATTTATTCTCAGTCACGCTCTGATTGACTACCGAGTAGTTCGGTTATCTAGCAGACGAAGAAAAGACAGAAAATGAGTAGAAGGGATAAAGTAACGGAGCGAGGGAATAGAAAAGGGAGACAGAGGATGTTACGCTCTTTGCAACTCCGGTATATTGATTTTGAAGGTTTAACGTCTGCTATTACGACCTGTCGGCCTTTCAGTAGACGAAAACTGATAGGTAAGGAAAATAGAAGGGACAAAGAATGAAAAAAACCCCTTTCAATTTTAACAGCGGGTATTGAATTAATGTTATACTAACAAACCCTGTTCTCTGTCAAAATATCGTCAGTAGCTCATATAAAGCATGTTTTAACGTGTTTTTCTGTTCGTGTTTAAATTGGTCAAGATGACATTTCCCTTTTTATGGACGTTTTGTGTAGCACTCAATCATTAATACCACAGCTACTGATGGTAAGTTAATGTTGCTACGAAAACATGTTTTTAATTCAACGCTACCATTATTGAAAAGTTGTAGTTATTGAATTGATTTATGCTTAAAATTTTGTGAAATTGTATTAAAAAAACACCCAAATCATTATTTCGTAGGGGATATGAATTAGTGGAAAGTTTGTTCCTAAGATTTAATTCAAACTTGATAAATTTCTTACGAGAGTTCTTTCCCTTTATACTGCATGGTAACCGTATGAACACTGCCCTTGTACGTAGTACTTCATCGGTGATGTATTTCGTGCAAACTACGAGCTAAACTTTATAAAAGTGCTAGTTCATCTTTAGTTATCTCTGTCAATTCTTTATAAATCAGCATGAGGTGCACAGGGAACGAAAAAACCCATATATTATATTTCGTCCAACAAATAACACCACGTAGAGAGTGAATGTCATCCTAAAAAGAAAGAAACACATTGAAAAACCTAAACAGAAGACTTTATATACCGTCAAGGAAAATACGTATTTTATATACCGTCAATTGATTGATTGATTGATTGATAGGTTTTACGTCCGCTTTACTACTGAGTAGTTCGGTTATCCAGCAGACGATATAAGGAAGCTACATATTTACATACCGTCAAGGAAGATACATATTTTATATACCGTCAATTGATTGATTGATAGGGTTTACGTCCGCTTTACTACTGAGTAGTTCGGTTATCCAGCAGACGATATAAGGAAGCTACATATTTATATACCGCCAAGGAAGTTACATATTTACATACCGTCAAGGAAGTTACATATTTTATATACCGTCAAGGAAGATACTATTAGTTACATAGTCACTTGCAGGGGTATACGGAAATATATGGGGTCCATGAAAAACCTGTATTGGGCGAGGCGCTTCGGAACTCCAGCCTTCACACAAACTTCAAATGTTCAACTTCTGCCGATCAGCTGATTTTGTTGAAACGAAAAAACAAAATCTAGAATCTAATAATAACCAACACTTGATATTCCTTTCATTTTTAAAAGTTGATCTTATTTGATGTGTTTTGTAGCATTAAACACCGCATATTGTACATTTAAAAAAGTTTATGTCAGCACTATTTCAAATCATCGGTCACCATAGTAACCACCCAGGACACCCGTCGGCATTAGGCATAGAGCTCATTTGAAGCTGAATGTACAGCCGTTGAATATGCTGTTTTCCAAAAATAACATGCAGACGTAAATGATGATAAATTGATGGGAGAAGTGCCCTGTGTCATTACAAAGTTCTCTGGGTTTAATGTGCAAGTTGATGTCACGGGGATTACCCAGCCGGACGTTTGGTGTAAGAAATTGTAAGAAACCGATTGCGAGTCGGTAGTCAGTATTTAATATGACAATGTTATATTTTCTTTCAATTTCAAATTAAAAAATAAATAATAATAGTACAATGGTGTACCATTTCTGATTTTTGCAATGTTTATTACTACTTCTCGCAACTACGTTATCTCGGAGAAGGGGAGATAACTCCTTTCAGAAGCAGTACTATGCGTAAAATCAGCTGACCGGTTGCACGATAATCGTTGTATTCATAGTGTATTCATGGTCTAATTGCAGTTGTTTTCAGTTGGTAGGTTCATGTACAGAACAAACACCAAGAATGTTAATATATTTATGTAAATCGTCAAGGAATATAATAGTTATATACGGTCAAGGAATATACTTATGTAACAGCAATGACACATATTTGTATACTATCTGTTTTAATGTTTGGTGTTGTTATTTTACTCGAAACATGACAATCCTATTGTGTAATTGCCCATGTAGTATTACATAAGAAAGAAATCGAATTTAACACGAACAACAGGACCCGAGGAGAAGCCAAAACATAGAGAGTCATTACGCACCCTAATAAAGCTATAGAGGAGTGACAAAGTTCTCTAAAGAGGTGTTTTACTGGCGACCGAATGTCCCTTCAACAGCACGCCGGAATTTGGTTTCTTATTCAGTATTTAGTTGCATCAATATTGAATAAGTGGTCAACTTCATGCCAATCTAAACACACCATTTGCTTGCTCAATAGAAACCTATCACACTTTTACCGAATGGCTGCATTCTATCCAAAGTCTTTCACTTGTTACTAATAGTAAAGGGGTGGAAACCCAATGAGTAAATTATATTTTCCGTGAGGAGGCTACTTGAAAAGAAAGGATGAAAGTATTAAACAAATCACAGAAAACAGTGGGAAAATGTAATATATAAAAGTTTTCAAACTATTACTTTTGGCAACATAAAACGTTTGATAACTGAATTATATTCAAACAATTATGATAAAGTCCTTTGGCTATTAGGTTATAAGACTCAAAGATGGCAGGCACATTTTAAAAATGGCATATCCTTTGATTTTAATTTTCTTTTGAAGAGGAGTAGACCTAAACCTTATCACAACAAAAACACCAACCAAAATTCAAATGAGCACATGGTTCTTTTTTCTTCGGAGCATAAAACTGAAATTTTCAAAAAGTCAGAGTTTTTCCCCCAAAAGACGAATGTTGTCCAACTACTGATGCATTGAAGGATCATTTTTTATGCGCCTAAAACTAGGGATCATATGCTACAGTATACATGAACTAATCTCTAGCTCCGGTGAGTTATGAGATATTTATAGAAGGACAAGGTCATGAACTACCAGTGACAAAAATATCAATCCAAAATATGTGGTGGAACATATTCAAAGAAGGGATTAAATGACCATATGGTCTATACACCAGAACTCATGGCTATATGTATAGTCTAATCAATATGGCGGAAAACTGACGGAAAAGAAGAAAATAGCTGTTCTAGTTTTTGATGGAATGCATATTTAATCAACTGAGAACATGTTTGAAAAAGATTCATTGGTTTATTCCTTTTCAATATGGCCACCAAAACATTCATTCTACTGCCTAATCAATTGTCAGATTCCCAGACAATTTTTCTTGCAATATCAATGGAATTCAGAGATTGTATGCTTGTTTGATACTTTGTTTTTATATATGTATTAAAGTTAGACGCCGTATTAACAGCTAATGACATATACAGATATTGTTTTTCAAGATGCATGAGTATAAAATGGCAAACTTGGAAAAAAGAAGGAAGAAAAAATATGATGCGAGGCTTTGAGTTTGTGTTAAAGCTGATGATTCTAGATTCAAATGAAAACAACTTATTTCAAGATTTGTCAGAACATTTCAGCCCTTGGGTGCAACTGTTTCGAATTTTGAAGATTGCTATAATAGCCAAGATAATAAAGTATACCTAATGTATGTTAACACATTCCCATAGTTCTTTGACCAACTCGGCATTGACAGTAGTAATCTTTTATTGGATAATTATCATTTGGTGACGTGCTGTATTGAATCAAATATTATATTTAGCCTGGCTCTTGTGTCTGGAACGAATATGACAACGGATGAGGTCTTGAGGGTGCCGATTCACCCATGTTTCATAATCTTTACGAATTCTGACTTTGCTCTCTTAGAGAGAGCTGGTTGTTTTCACCCTCTGAACAGTTTGTTTTTGTAAGTAGAAACTTCATCGGTTGTGCGAGGTCTCTGTCCTTTTTGTCAGTTTCCGGTGATCTTTGATAAATTGGTTCCCGTATCCAATTGAGACATGCAGTCATAATCTTTCGCACTTCCTCAATCATACCAATGAATCAATCTTTTATTAATTGAGTTCTTAAAAGAATCTAACGCTTAAGACGGCCATGATAGGACTCTACAATCCATCGGGATTTAGTAACTGTCCTGTCAATGTTAGCCTGTAGATTAGAGTGTTTTTAATACCAGATGCCTCTAACATTGGCAAGACATCTCTAAAACCAAGATCAACGACTACATTGTCGTCTTGCTCCAACCATGTGAGCTTTTGTCTATGATGGT